TAAATTATATAAGAAAATATGAAACACCTTCAGTACAGATATTTTGACTTATAATGTTGATTTGTCACAAGTAAAAGATCTTTTCATCTCCTTGGATATGCAACTGAGAAAAAGACTGAACCAGGGGTGAGGTCGAGATACCAGTTTCCCTCTACGGAGAGTGATGAAAATGCTGGTGTTTTAGGGCTGGGCCCTTCCTGGAAACCGAGACAACATGAAGAACCTGGATTCTTGTCATCAAGTCAGAAAGATTTCAGACACGTTGCTCAAATTTACCGGCAAGAGTTTACTGAAGGGATAGAAGAGAAAGGGATACTCTCGAAGGAGAGAGTGGGTCCTCTCAGACAGGAGAGGGACAGTGTGCCTCTCCTGCACTCCTGCTTTATTGGGGATCCCAGGAGAGTTTCCAGAGTCCCACCCAGGTCCACCTCTTGACTTTTGACTGACAGCAGGATGACATCAGACTTTCAAGTCCCCACTGCCATGACAACTCTAGGTCGAGTTGGCCCATGCTGACTGGTTCTAATTGGATTCTTATCCACAAATTCTTACAGGTATTGTGGTTAGGAGGAATTACCCTATCTTCCTGAGTTCTGGGATCTGGACTTTGAAAAGGTTACAAAAGTCTCTCCCTTCATGGTAAGTAAGTTGACTTCTTCTTACTGATATTATTTTGAGCCTGCAGTTCTCAAAATAATAACACGTAGATAACAAGTAGTTGGCTGAGAAACGTGACATATCCTGTCCCCTTAGGTCAGGCAGGGCTGCAGATAAATTTCTTCTTGGAAAAGAAAGCATGCAGGAGCCAGGAAAGTGGGCCCATTTTATAGAATTATTCTCTTAACTCGTATTCCTACCGTTTGCATCTGTCTGTCCCCTATCACCAGGACACTGCTCTTTGAAGCCAGCTGATATTCCCCACCAGCTTTTACATATCTCAAATGCTTTTTAAGGTAGCATTTATGCCGTTCACACAATATTTCCAGCTTCTTGTTTATGCCTACTGTAGGATTTTAACATCCTCTTTGTGGCTGGGTTGAGCTATATAAATAAGTCTGACCAATGAGTCAAAAGTGAAATATTGTGTGTCATTTCTGGGATGAAACACTGAATTCCTGATTTGAGATGTTCTCTAACACAACTGGCTGTATTCCAGACAATGGTGCTTTCATCAGCCCCCTCAGCTGACTCTGATGTAACAGGAATGAAAAACCAAACTTGTTTTAAGATGCTGAGGAAAGGGATCAAGGCAGGGGAAGATGGGAGAGAAGGGGGGCAGCACTGGAGACTGAAATAGAGAAGACTATATTACATGCATTTGTGTGTGTCTAAATGAGCTCCACTAATATATAACTGTAATGCACTAAAAAATAA